TCTCCATCTTGCCCGCTCATTCAACCTTACACAAATTGGTAAAAGAACCCACGCATGGGATGAATATATTGGACATACTCTTAACTTCCGAGCCATCCATTATCGCTGGGCTTTGTACACTGCCCCCATTTAGCACTTCGGATCATCGTCGAGTTAAATTTAAAATTGTTGACGCATCCCTAATTCGTCCAAACAAGCCAACGTATTATAGACTATACTCAAAAGGCAATTTTGAATTAATAATCGAGTCACTTGCGCACATTGACTGGACAGCTCTCAACAATTCTTGCAGTAGCACAAACGCATTCTACATCGAGTTTGTTAACATTTGCAAGCGTTTAATCGAGAGATACGTTCCGGTTTCCCGTCGCAAAGACACTTGCGAAGGGTACTCGAAGCGTATACGATATTTGAAAGCGAAAGCTGATTACTTGTATTCAAGTTCTTTGTCAGTACATCATACTGAATACAAGAGGTATTCTATGAAGCTTAAAAGAGCGCTCTTTCGCAGGCAAATGCTCAAGGAAAAGCTTTTAGCCTCCAGCAAGAACACCAAGCGCTTTTTCAGTTACTGTAGAAAGAATCTCAAATTGGCTGACTCAATTCCGAATTTAATTTCACAGGGTGTCGTGGTAAAAGATGATCGAGCAAAAGCGGACTTGTTTGCTTCCTTTTTCAGATCAGTGTACAAGAAGCCCCGCCTAATGGATATCAACACGTCAGGGGTTGCATCCGGAGACCTTGACTGGGTAGATATAAACGACAACACGGTTTACAATGCTTTGAGGGTATCCACGTCGCCGGATGGTATCCCTTACGTGTTTCTTAAGAAGGCAGCACTAGGACTCGCTTCTCCTTTGACCATTCTTTTCAATAGAGCACTACTTCAAGGAGAGGTTCCCTGTCTATGGAAGATTGGGCTGGTGCGACCAATATTTAAAAAAGGCTGTAAAAATGAAGTCTCCAACTACAGACCCATTGTTTGCACCAAGCTTCTCTCTGTCAGCAAAGTGATGGAACGGATACTCTGTCGTGCAATAATGGGATTCTTAACTGAGAGACAGTTGTTGCACAATGTCCAGCATGGGTTCCGTAAGTACAGGTCCACAACTTCAGCACTGTTGTCAACTATCCCTCTCTGGCAGAGAGATGTTGATAGAGGGGATTTCATTTCTGCTTGTTACATTGATTATGCCAAAGCATTTGACTCGATATCTATACCTCTCTTGTTGAAAAAACTGGCATCCTATGGCATAGGAGGTCAGCTTCTTCGGTTCCTCGAGTCTTTTCTGGTCAACAGAACCCAAGCAGTAGTCATCAACAATGTGAAGTCCTTCACGTACCCTACGCCCAGCGGTGTGCCTCAGGGCACATGTTTGGGTCCACTAATGTTTATAATCTACGTGAATGACCTTGTCGGATCCCTACCCGGGTACGTTCTGTAGTATGTACGCAGACGACTCGAAGATTTATACAGTGAATAACTGCGAGAGATTACAAGGCCGCTCTTGACGCTGTCGAAAGCTGGTCAGACAAATGGCAGCTAGTGATCTCCTTACCCAAAACAGTCGTCATGAGAATTGGAAAGAATCATCCGGATTTCGCCTTTACAATGTTCGGGAAGCCTCTTGAATGTGCCCATTATGTGCGTGATCTAGGCCTGATGTATAGCGACAAACTCGAATTCGACAGCTACATAAGTCAAATCACGACAAATGCTAGCATGAGGGCCAATTTCATACTCAGAGCGTTTCGGACACGCGATCCAACCCTGCTATTTCGGCTTTTCACACTCTATGTCCGACCTCTCCTTGAGTACTGCTCTCCCATTTGGTCGCCTTGTAAACGATCACAAATTGATGAAATTGAAAGAGTGCAAAAGAGCTTCACATATAGATGCTTTTATCGGAAAGGTATCACCACACTATCTTATGAACGTCGTCTCCAAAAACTTGACGCGGAATCGCTTGAGTTCCGACGAAAGCTGCATGATTTTGGACTGCTCTATAAGTTAACAACTGGGCAAATAAGTGTTAAATTGGATGACCTTTTTGAATTGTCTTCCACTATAGGTTTAGCAAGGGGTCACCCCTACCGTGTGCGGCCGTATAAGGCCAGAACTTCGTCTTTTCAAGGTTCGTTTCTTGCAAGAGTTGCTAATCTGTGGAACAGTTTAGACAGTGAATGTTTCAGGTGGAAGCGAGCTTCGTCCTTCCAGGAGCATATAAGGCCCATTCTCAAGCGTAGTCCGGCTGATGCCCACATTACATGACCTCGCTTTCTGTTGAATCCTTTGGATTACGAATAAGGCTGTGTCCACTTGTCATCTCCCTTGAGAAACAAATCAAGATATAGTTATCGTGCTAACTTCAAGTTAGGCTTGGAATCTTTTTTATTGGTGTTGATTTCGTTTCGTTTCGTTTTATTGTGTTTGATTTTCGTTTCGTTTTTCTCCCTCTTATTCTCCTCTCTAGACTGACACTTGTAACCTTGTTCCCCTTATGTTGCCCCCCCCTTTTTTTTTTCCCCGCTGCTGTTGGTATTGCGCAATGGGAGTTGGCCCCTAGCGACGTTGGCGGACCTACTACGATGGTATCCGGAGTTCGTGTTGAAGCTGGTCCGAACTTGCAGTGTGGCGGCCACTGCCCTTCTGAGCTATCTATCGTCTGCCACTCCCAGTAGCGCCCACCCCCCCCTCTTTTTTTTTTTCTTCTCTCCATCCCATTGTTCAGGGGTTATCGAAATATTGGTTCGCAACACGTTACTATTTTTGAGTTGGCATTGTTTGTACCGATAATAAATCAAATCAAATCAAATCAAATACGAGCTGCCCGCCCTGAAGGTGAAGCTCTTGGCACGTAAATTAGTCTTTAGGTTTTGACAAATAGATCTTCATGGGACCACCTCTAGTGTTCGAATGAACCATTCTGAAGACATTACTGGAACAGGACCCACGCGATCTTTTGATAAGCTTGGTTTATTGAGTCCTACCTAAGCCATTCAGGCCTGTACATCTCCATATTTCTATGCTCTCTGGCTTTTCGCGCCAGGACCTCCACCAAAAGTTGTGGTTGCCGTTTAAACCTTAACTATTACACCACATACAAAACATAAACGCGCTTTCCTGGTATCACCAAGTGTAGAACAAAGCGGAAGACAAGGCATCCATAACACCAGTCGGAGGAATGCTCGGCACATTTTCTAGGCAGATTCGTTACCAGCATTAAAAGTCAAGCGATGGACCAGTTTTCTTCGAAAGAGACATTTCGACATGGGATCGCTGGATATCAGTAGTATGAAGTGCTCAGAATGTGAAGTCCGATCCTCCACGTGGTGCCACAACAAAGTGCTCGCTGGTGCGAGCTACGCTGAACTTGGTGCGAGCTGTGCTGAACACGGACATCCGTACGGCCTTTGTGACGGGCCGGACTAGGAACATTTGTGTCACATCTTACATTAGCCATTTGCCAACTCCCACGCCGATGTGGTTATCCATTTGGAGCTCAGCAGTTTCGCAACTCGATTGAGAGCGTTGCTTCATTTGACGACCGTTTAATGTAGATCGGTATCGATGTCGAGTATTGACTATACCACTTCTTCTCTGCGGAGGCCCACGGATTGGATGCTTTTCGCCAATAATAGGACGCGTTCTGGGCTCTGCTGGATGGGAAGACGGCCGAAGTACCCCGAAGACGGTATGTTTCGAATTGGCGACCTATGCTTGTCATGGTGGATTCGGTTATGAATCCCGGGGTGCTGACTGTGAGCGAATCTTCGAGTGTGCAAACAAGCGTAATCTGATCGTAATCTGATCATCCTGGCCGAAAAGTTTTGTAAAAGTGACCTCCATCTCATTGCCATTTACAGCGGGAGTAGCAGAACACAAATAGAGTCTGTTCTCATCGGACATAGCGACCAAGGACTCGCTACGGATGTAAAGATAAGAAGAAGTTAACATGCAGCAGCGCCGGCTGATTTGCAGCTTCCAGATTGAATCGACGGAGCGAAGACGTCAGAGCATTAAGTGGTGGGACCAAACGAGCGGGAAGCACCTGTAATTTTTTGCATTTGTTCGCACGAGATTACAGTTGTCGACTAATACTGGAAAGAAGCCCTTCAAATTTATCTGGGCCGTCCACTTCGAATTTGGCATAACGAAGCTCGGACGGCAGAGGATTGAAAACGACGCCTCGCTGCAGACGGACAGGGCCAAAAGGAAGATTTGCGAGAAGAAGAGTCTCTACCACGTGCTTTTGAAGCATAAGTCTACTGACGGCTGGCAAAAGTACCGGGAAGCGGATAGAGCGACGAGGAAGGCTGTGGCTGCTGCAAAAGCCGCTTATTTCGATGGTCTCACAAGAAACAGGAGACGAGCGTCGTGAGCGGTGCTTGTACGAGCTTGTCAGATATCGCCATCGTCAAACCGAAGATATAGGGAGGAGTGAAATCCACTATAGAGATGCTCTCAAAGCACTCCCTCCAACTCGCATCATTCTTCGGGAATGAATGTCAAAATGGCCATCTTCTGACTCGGACTGTTCAGAAGATGGCCATTTTGACACTCATTCCCGAAGAATGATGCGTGATGGAGGAAGTGCTTTGAGAGCACCTCTATAGTAGATTTCACTCCCGAATTTTCAATTGATGGTGTTAAGTTGAAGGCACCTGTTGCACCTAGGGACTTGGGCATCTCGTATTCTAGATCGCGATCTTTCGATATTAATACTCTATATCAATATTACCACGGCAGCTTACATAGCTCACGCAAGGAGAATTAACCGTGCGGGCACTTTCGGCAAGTAGTAAGTAGTAGTAATATATATATATATATATATATATATATATATATATATATATATATATATATATATATATATATATATATATATATATATATATATATATATATATATATATATATATATATATATATATATATATATATATATATATATATATATATATATATATATATATATATATATATATATATATATATATATATATATATATATATATATATATATATATATATATATATATATATATATATATATATATATATATATATATATATATATATATATATATATATATATA